CAACCAACATTTGCCGAGGGACTACTATGCCAAATATGTTTAGGCAATAGGTATGCAAAGAAATATGATAAACCATTCTTGTTCTCAAGGAGCTCACAATGGAAAACAGAAGATGGACACGTGCAGCAATGTTTCCATGCTGGGTGACACAAATCATGACAAGAGGAGATGAAGGAGCCCTTATAGGATCATCTCACCCCGACTGGAAAGGCCAGGGTGGGTTTCTAGAAGGAGAGGCTGAGGTGAGGACCGAAGGATAAGAGACAGTCAGTCTAAAGGGGGAAGGTGAGGAGGGAGGGAGTGCAAAAGAAGGAAAGAGCAAATGATAATGGACTTGGAAAGCAGAAAATGTTATCCTGACATGCTACTTGACCCAGCATGAATAATTGCCATAGTCCAATTTAAAGAACTTTCACTGTGCCAAGGAAGGGCTCTGTGGAGCCCGAGTACATTGAGCAATCACATGGTGAGAGCTCTCCAGCAGACACTCTGCCCTTCATTCTGTGCACATGGAAGCGTGCACCACTGATGAAACTCTCACTGGAGGGTAATGGGACATGTTGGGACAGGGCGGGGGAGAACCAAAGAGCCTCTGGACCCTGTGTGGGAAATGGAGAGAACGTCTTTGGTGGTTGGATGAGTTGGGTCTCACTCGTAGCAGGTTGGACTACTGGAAGCATTAACCTGACCACACATTCGGTTTGAGTAGAATGATCTTGCTCTTTAGTTTCTCTTTTCCTTTCTGAATGTGTTCAAATGCCAATTTGAGCCATTTTCCTTCAGAACAAACTAATGGACATCAATATGTAAAAAATGAAAACGAGCCTTTACGCAGAGAGGAACAGACTGCGAAGCCATGTACGAAATTCAGACCAACCAGCCTCTTCTTGGGATACTGACTCGGCCACCAGCCAGGCCCAACTTCAATGTTGAATCTTGCAGGCAATGAACAGCTGTTGAGCACCAGTGACTCAAAGTACTGTGCTACTGACATAGGATACGTACTTCCTTCATCATGCATCTTCCTAGGATTCTTTGGTAAGACTCCTAGCTTTTTGTTAAATAATTTTTTTCAATTACAGTTTACGAATTCAATCTTATTTTGTATTAGTTTCAGGTGTACAGCGTAGAGGTCACACAATCTTATACTTTACAAAGTGTTCCTCCCAATATTTCAAGTACCCATCTGACACCATACATTGTCATTACAATATTATTGACTGCTGGAGGCCCAGTGCACACAAAATCCGGCACGGTTAGGGTCCCTAGGCCTAGCCTGGCCTCTATGCATGGCCTCTGCCGCCCTGCCATGCTAAGTGAAGCTCTCCGCCCCAGGACTGCTCCGTGAGGCTCCTCCCCCCGCACCCCCTCCCTGC